AAAAACAGCTTCGTTTTTTTTTAAACAACTTTGCTTCACGACCATGTATTTTATTACTTTTGACCAAGAATGTAGCCCCTTTGCCCTGTGTTGTGGCCAAGATAATGTTGCTATAAAAGAAAAACCAACAATACAACTTAAGTCAACGACCATGATTGGTCCTTCTTTACCGCAATAGTGTTATTTCCTTCACATGGTCGTACAACTAGTTCTTTTAAAGCAGCTTCAATTTTTCAACAATATTGTTCTGACAACATTTTTTGGCCAAGTACAATACTCCTTTTGCATCTGCAGCGCCGTGCCCCCAACAACAGCGTTAAGAAGTAAGAAGGAAAAATATAAAATGACACCTATGCTACATGACTTAGGCCAAAACGACCATGTTTGGTCATTCTTTCCTTATCAACCATTATCAACAAAAATAAAAGTAAAGCCATGTTTAAACTTCGACTATCTCGACAACATAGTAACCGGCCGACCATATTTAACAACTCCGGCCTAAAGAAAACAAACCATTTAGCCAACACAACCATACACCAACGGCCTTGATTATGTTAATGCAAAGCCGATGGCATCTACGTAGCTCACTCACTCGACGAATCTAAAATAAATTGGCTAAACAACATGATTGCAACATATCCATGCAATATTTCATGACATGCACACGTAAAACAAACTTTGAAGCCATTCAGAAGTAGAGTTAACCCGTACCTGTCAGACTCCTGCAAACTGGCACTACGAAACTTGAATGTGGCTCCTCCTTCGCGTCAAGGTTGGTTTCTTCCACAATGTCGCAGACAACACCGCTGCTTCCTCTCCCAACTTGGTACTCGCATCCTCGCCGTTGATCGGCAACCCCTCTAGCAAGGCCGTGATTTCGGCCTTCTCCACCCTCTCTTGAGGTGACTTACTCAAATTTTGGTGGACCACCTAATGCAAGCATTGATGGTCTCACAATATCAGACAACAAGTTCAAGCACGCCTTACCCAACACCTTTGTGCTTGAAGCTACGACGTTGCATGGTCCCCCTTCCATACTTCTAATTTTTTGAGGACCCAGGACTTTGTGGTACAAAAGAGTTTCGACAATGTTTCCCCCCACAACGTTGACCATATTGACGCCCACACCGTTGGGGAACGGGTCAGTGTCAACAATCATGGCCTCCTTCCTCGGCTCCGGTACCTTGAACCGACCTTTTTCAATAGCATCCTGTACCACGTTTCGAAACACTACACACGTATTAGTTGAGTGAGGCACATTGTTGTGCCACTTACAGTAGCGTTTCCCTTTTAATTTTTCAGCTGGCGGGATAGTATGCCCCCCAATTAACTTAATTTGACCATCTTTGTAAAGCTGGTCAAAAATCAACTCTGATTTCGAAACATCAAAGGAATATTTCCTAGTTTGAATCGGAGCACGATTGGGCTTTCCACCTTGTGGTTCCCCCTCGGCCTTGGCTAGAGAAGCACACACATATGGCTTCCCCTGCACAATCTCGGCCAAATCAACTTCAACCTCGTTAACATCGCTGTCGACGTTATTCACGCCATAGTTTTCAAAATTAGGGAAGTATTGTCCACGAGAGCCACTTCTCTTATGTTCTTCTTCATGGAGAAGAGATTCGTATCTAACCGCGCAGGACATCAATTGAAACAAATCAGAAAACTCCCTATCTTGAAACTTTTTACGAAGTTCAAAATTCAATCCACCCTGGGCAAGTTTAACAAACTCGCGTTCTGTCAAGTTCACAAAACAGCGATTTCTTGCATTTTTAAAGTTTGTTAAAAAGTGTTCTACTGTTTCTCTTGGCTGTTGGCGCATTCGTGCCAAGTCTGCCATTGTTACTTCTGGCTCAGAACGGTAGAACTGGGCATGGAACATTTGTTCCATTTGCTGCCACGTTTGAACCGAGTTCGATGGCAAGTTGACGTACCACGCGAATGCAGGGCCGGTCAACGAGTTGCCAAACGAACGTAACTTCAAGAAATCACTCACATCACCACACTGAACCGTGAATCGTCCAACATGCTCGACGGTGGACTGATCCCCAGTCCCGCTGAAGGTGATGAAATCAGGCACGCGAAAACCACGTGGAAAGGGGTAGTATCTATCAACCCAATCCGGATATGGTTTTCGATACACCGGCGGCATCGCTGGTCTAATCCCTAAACCAAACTGATCAGCCAGCATCTGTGCTACCTGATCTCGAATCACATTAACGTCTTGCCCCCCAAGTTGCCCCCCTTATGGTACGAATCCACCAGGATCCATGCCAAGCCCGTTTGGAGGAGGAGGCACGTTTTGTGGGTAGCCGCGTGGCGGAACATGATCATTGTTGATCGTTCCTCCACCACTAGCACCGCTCATCGGAGCCACGTAGGGTCTGGCCTCCGGAATATTTTGTGGACCCACACCGTGAAACGGCGGTGGTTCAACCCGAGTGTTAGCGGCAGTGCCAGTCTCGCCAAGATTAACTCGCGGAGTTGGTGGGTTCATCACCGGTGTCGGCGAAGCTCCTTGTCTTGGCGGACTAATTCGAGCACTGTTGTTTGGAAAACCAGTTTCGTTGTTTAAATTGTTTTCACCGTTTAGCGGCAAATCCCTAGGTTGCATTACTGGTCTACCCAAGAGCTCCCTGATTTCATTCATATCACGTAGATTTTTATCCCCGAAAACATCAAAATCATGTCTGTTTTTAGTCACAACTTCAAAGAGTTGGCCTAAACGCCTATCAACACGAGACTCAAGAGAATCATGTCGTGCAGTTAAAGCGTCAAAACGTTGATTTACCTCGCCTTTGAAGCCTGCAAGCTCATTGTTGAGGCTTGCAAACATGCGACGGTTCTCCTCCATGAAATGGCGGATTGACAAATCCCCAGTCGACCCAGCTGTGGACGGCGGATTCTCGGATCCGCCGATGTCTTAAGCACCGATTCCTTGGCCTCCTTCAATGTTGGCCACATGTTCCTCCACGAATCCGAGCGGGACATCCCCTTCCTGATTCCTTCGTCGCGGAGCCATTCGAACACACGGGTCCCACCGGGTGTGCCAATTTGTTTCGTTGGCGAAACTCGTGTGTTCAATGCGCACTGTTTTCAAGTAAACACACAAAACACAACGTTAATCACAACCGTCAAATGTCCGTCGCCAAAGTCGGCGCCGTTGATTTGATCGATCGAACAGAAAACAAAGAAGATCGTCAAATATCCGCCGCCGGTGTCGGCGTCGTTGATTTGATCGATACACCCTTGACTTCTAATCAAACAACCGTTATTCGGTTCACCACCTCTCCAAACTACGTTCGAACGAGGGTGTTCGACGAATAACCAGAAAATCGAACCAGGAGTGTTCTAAGTTAAGTTACCTCTACTCCTATGGAGGTTCCTCTGGAGAGCTCCGCAACTACGGCTACGATCTACAACTACTACGACTCTGCAAAGGAGGTCTTTGACAGAGCAGTTCTACGAACTAGAGAGAAAAAAGATAAATTCTGCTATGGTGCAGTTGTGATTTGATTTTGCCGTCCTGAGCTTCTCTCTCTTCCCGATCTTTATACCCCGATCTTCTCCCCGTAGTCGTAGTAACCGCCTTCGCGCCTTTGTCTCCCACGTTCTTCATTCCTGTCAACCGCAGATAACTCCCTCATTGTTGCGTAACTCCCACGAGTACGAAAACGCTTGGACACGCGGGAACTTGGCCAAAACGACACTGAGCCAAAATCGACAATCCTCCACCACGGTTCGATCCTCCAAACACCCTGTCCACATGATAAACAAACGACATCGAGTCCACCACATCGTCAAAACTGACCTCTCGTCACGACGTTGTTTATGGCTAACCAGCGCCGTTTCCGATTCCTGCGGTGTCGTTCCACGGAACAATGTTGTTTTTACACCGTTTATGTGAAATTTCTCACGACATTGTTCTATATTAAACACTGTCGTTTTCTATTTCTGCAATGCTGTTGAACTTTGCGATGCCGGTTTAAATTTAACGCTGTCGTTTTAACTACTGCGGCATCGTTTGGCCCACTCGCGGCATCGTTTTTAAATCCGCGGTGTCGTTTCTTCCTCTTGCGGCATCGTTTTCAACTAAACGACACCGTGCTAAAAAGTCATTAAAAATATTAGTTAATTAATCCGGTCATCACTAGTCAAACTCGTGTGTTGACCAACGACATCATTAGCGCCAAAACGGCTCTGTTTGCCTTTCCCTTCGCGACATTGTTTTTTATTTAAACACTGTCGTTTGCTAATCTGCGGTACCGTTGAGCTTACTCGCGGTACCGTTTTGAATTAAACGACACCGCCGATATAGCCAGAAAATATTAATCCATGGAACCGCCGTAGTCGGCGCTCGCATTGGGCCGGGAATTTTGGTCACTTGCCCGATATGATTTTTAATTAATCGGTACCGTACCAGGCTCTCGCGGCACCGTTTTTAAATCCGCGATACCGCTTATCTCCATGCGGTACCGATTTTCCCCTTCCAACAAGGAATAAAAATAATAATTAATTAGAGAAAAAACTCCTTCTCCAACACCAACTAAACGCGCGGCCCCATCTTATTTTCCGGCGGTGTCGTTGTCTGTGTCGCGGTACCGCTTTTCTGTTTCGCCGTATCGTTTTAACTCTCCGCGACACCGCTCAACTCCAAACGACACCGTTTTTTACTCGCGGTATCGAATTAAATGCCGAGACTAATTAATGCGGCATTTAATTCAGGACAAATTAATTTTAGGTGTCAGCAGTAGTCCTCATATAGATCTGCGGGTCTCTATATGGGAAATCCTGGAAGTCTCCATTCAGAAAACATATCTTTGAATACATATGAAAGCACACATGATACAGGACAAAGCAAGGTGTTAAGCAGATTGTGAAGTCTACCACGTTTCAGTTTTGGTTCAGCGAGAACTGTGCGAAGCAGATTCATGTTTTTCATGCTCGGTAGGTAGCCTGAGCCTCTGCCCAGGTCCTTCCTTGTCTTCACTTCCTCGTCGGTTCCCAAATCGACGACTGTCGCGTAGCCATCGACTGGGGAGTGGGGGCTGCAATGCAATTATGCAAACAACTCTTTGTCTCGCTGCTATTCTGGAGACCCCTCCACTCCACTCATTCATCGTCCGTTTAGCGTCGCTATCGACTGACGGCTGCAATGCAAAGCAACTCCCGCTGCTATTTAGAGACCCCTCCACTCCACCATCTTCCGCACTGACCATCTAGCCGTCTCTGCATCGACCTTTTCACAACCATTATGTGAAGTTTCAGTCTCAGTGCTCCTGTTCTGTTATTTCAATAGCAATGTTTGGGAAGGTGGCTTTACTGGTTTTTCACTCGTTTCCCCCCCCTTTCCTGGTTTTGATTTCTTTGCAGGGACGGGGGAGGAGGAGGGTTGAAGCCGATGGACTCAGAGCAGCTGAGAGAGTATGGACACCAGATGGTTGATTTTGTTGCTGACTACTACAAGAATATCGAGAATTACCCTGTTCTCAGCCAAGTCGAGGTTCGCTGCTCTAACAATGGCAGAATGCCATCCTTTTTTTTTTTTAAACTATTTCCTGCTGCAATTTTCTTACTTTCGAGTAACGGGGGTATATTGGATGATTTGCTCATCTTGTGGCTGCAGCCTGGCTACCTTGTGAAACTGCTGCCTGATGCAGCACCGAATCAACCTGAATCATTGCAGAGGGTTCTTGATGGTATATGATCTGTATTTTTACATGAATGCTTTCAGATTCCCTACTGTTTCATTGCAGAGTTATATTATTTTTTTGGGGGTTTTCATTTGGTTGTAGATGTTCAGTCGAAGATACTTCCAGGGGTGACTCATTGGCAAAGTCCAAACTTTTATGCTTACTATCCTGCCAACAGTAGTGTTGCCGGGTTCTTGGGAGAAATCCTGAGTGCTGGGATTAACATGGTGGGTTTCAGCTGGATAACTTCTCCTGCTGCCACGGAGCTCGAGATGATTGTGCTAGATTGGCTTGGTAAATTGCTTAAACTGCCACAGGAATTCCTCTCATCAGGTAACTGTTTTGCTTGTTATAGACTTTTGCAGATTCTCTTGTTCGATTCGTGTATGTTCATGCCGAAGCTAGTTAATCCATAGCAAGGTCTTTGACCGAAAGTAACAGCATGTTGGGAAAATGGACTTGGGCAGTAAATCAGTTTATGTTCTACGCGGAAGCTAAACTGGTTAAACAATTTACAGAATTTTGATAGTAAGATGGGAACAGAGACCAACCATGTTTCTGAAGATTGGTAACTCATTTTAACAGGACATGGTGGAGGAGTGATACAAGGAAGTGCAAGTGAAGCTGTTCTGGTTGTACTGTTGGCTGCTCGTGATAAGACGTTGAGGATGGTTGGCAAAAGTGCCCTTGGGAAGCTAGTTGTTTATGGATCTGATCAAACACACTCTGCGTTACAGAAAGCCTGCCAGGTATTTCTTGCTCACAATCTGCCTTTCGTGATTCTACCCTTATTATTACTATGCAAAAGTCTTTTTAGTGCTGCAGAATTTGCCAGATCGTTCCGTTAGCTTCTGGTTTCTGATATCTTGGACATCCATCCTTCTTTGCTTGTATTCTCTATGAGCATATGTCATTGAGTCACCACATCTACTGGACCAGTTATCAAGTCCTCTTTAAACTGTTTTCTGCTTTGTATATGCATATACTGATTTAGAGATGACTACTAGTTACATGACAAAAATTGTGGATACTTTTGTTGATTTTGCCTATGTCTTGTACTCTTCTGTTTGTGGCAGATAGCTGGAATTCATCCTGAAAATTGCCGGCTGCTGAAGACAGACTCGTCAACAGATTATGCTCTTTCTCCGGAAATAGTTAGTGAAGCGATTTCACATGACATTTCTATTGGATTGATCCCCTTCTTCCTATGTGGAACTGTAAGATACCGAACCTGCCTTCTGCTGTTCCTTGATAATTCCTTCGTCACGTTTGCCATTGTTCTTAAATCTTAATCTGCCTCGCCAAAGTAGCTGGTTGGAATTTTTCTGTGTGTTACCATATTTGAAAAGAATAGAAATTGGAAGCTGTAGGTTCTATGTCCTGTACTTTGAGTATATTCTTAATTTTTTTGGACACTACCAAGACAACCAAATCATTTTAACATTCCTCGTTATTTAGCGATAAACTTGTTGGCGCAGATAGCTGTTTGGTGAAAGTAGACTGGAAGCAAGTAGGAATAGGATTACTTATGTCCTGCATTATGGAACTTGCAAACCAACATATATCACGTAGCAGTGAACAGTTTATATATCTATTTTTAGGGTAAATACAATTTAATATCCAAATCTTTTATTTTAAACAATATAATAGCCAAACCTTTTCGAAAACAATCTAATATCCAAATCGTCAACTTTTTGTCTGTTTGACCGTTAGTTGACACTTCAAAAAAGTTCGAAGTACGACACTTCATCAATATCCATCGATATCTTCTATGAAAAACCACCAACATATCGTAGTTCCAAACCCGAGAAGTCCATGACTCCGCCATGATGGTATAGAATATCTAAATATTCAGTCATCTGCAGTACCAAAACAAGAAACAAAGTTGTTTTGTGCCAATTTCCCCTAAACAAAGCTTTTTTGAAGTGTCAACTAACGGTCAAACGAACGGAAAGTTGACGATTTGGATATTAGATTGTTTTCAAAAAGGTTTGGCTATTATATTGTTTAAAATAAAAGGTTTGGATATTAAATTGTATTTACCCCTATTTTTATATAAGAGAAGTTAAGTAGACTGGAAGAAACTATGAAGAGGGTTACTTGAGTCCTGCATTATGGAATGCTATTGTTAAGTTTCAGACCCCCTCAAGGAAACGTTTAGAGTTGAGAAGAGTTCGTTATTTTGTATGATTGCTATTGAGATGCTACACCTAAACACGTCTAGTTGTTTATCAGTGGTATGTTGACCATAATTTATACCAGATAACTTTTTGCATATATCTTCAGGTCGGTACCACTTCGTCAGCAACTGTTGATCCCTTGTATTCTCTGGCCAAGATTGCCAAGGTTAGTTTTAACTTTTTAATTTCCATCAATCACGTCAGAAACTGCTCTTATCCTTGTTCTACATCACATATCATTCTCAATATTACCAATGAACCAGATGGTACATACTTGTGAATATGATTCACCTTATTGTTATTCTATGTACAGAGTAATGGCATGTGGTTTCATGTGGATGCTGCATACGCTGGAAGTGCCTGCATATGTCCGGAATACCGCAAGTACCTAGATGGTGTCGAAGAAGCAGACTCTTTCAACATGAATGCGCACAAATGGTTCTTAACCAACTTTGATTGTTCTGCCCTGTGGGTCAAGGTACATCATCAACATCTTTATCACATTGCGCTGGTTAAGTTGGCATCAGGGCCTCTTTCAGAAAAAAAGTAACAATAAATCTTTTCAGAATGAGGAATCATAAAGTCCAGTTAATCCTAACTAATGTACCGAACCTTTGCTTCCAGAAATCTATTAGTATCTTTTCCAAAAAAAGAAAAAAAAAAGGGTGATGGCCATACTGCATTTCTTGTAGGCAGTTCAAATGTTTAATAGAGAAGATAACTTCAACTGCTATTGACAATTTGACATCATGGTACTTCCGTAGATTCACTTTCCCTTTATTCTTCCGAATTTAAGCTAGAGTCTACCAAAGAAATTTCCATTAATGGCTCTGGTACGCCACTGATACATGTTAGAGGTCTATAGTCCCAAAGACAGATACATGTTAGAGGTCTATAGTCCCAAAGTTTTCCTGCTGCTGCACTCTCCTCAAGTTAACAGAAGGTGGAACTAAGTCTGTTACTGATACTTTTCACTGGACTACCCTCATCCATTGCTAACTTTTCTTGTATAGGCTTGCCTCTAGTTTCTTGGTTACAATTTCAATTTACATGGATATTACTATTTACTTCTTTATTAATGTATATTATGATACCAGGACAGGAATGCTCTCATCCAGTCCCTCTCCACAAATCCAGAATTTCTGAAGAACAAGGTAAATTTTGTGTTTATTTACCTGCTAGATACAGTTTTTGCATCTACCAATACTATTGTATCCTGGTCTGGGGGTCGTAATCGAGAGATCATTTTGAACATTATCAACGCTTATCTAACTGCGGTTTAGGAATTTCTCGCGCAGTGGTAGTTGGATAATGTCGCATTTAAACTAAACCGTTCTTCATGTTTTCCCCCTATCATATTTATAGGGCAGTTGGTTATTGGTAATATTTACAAGTGCTTAACATTGCAGGCCTCACAAGCTAATTTGGTGGTGGATTACAAAGACTGGCAAATCCCTCTTGGACGTCGGTTCAGGTTTTCCTTATATACCTTAGGCTCCAAGAAATTTATGATTCCGTATAAAGAATGGTTGGTCATTGAAACCTGAATACCGGGGTTTGACACCTAACCTTGTAAGATTTAGTTCTTACACCACCAACGCTTATCATTAGGTCATTGAAACTATGGATGGTACTACGATTATATGGTGTGGAAAATCTACAGAACTACCTCAGAAATCATATCGAGCTGGCAAGATACTTCCAAGTGTGTGTTGGCCAAGACCCAAGATTTGAGGTAAAGGCCATTCCTCCCTTCCTCCATTTGGACAGTAGCAGATACATTGAATCATTTTGATCATTCTCCGTAGCTATCTGTGTGAACCCTCTGCAGATTGTCGCCCCACGTAAATTTTCGCTGGTCTGTTTTCGCCTCCTACCTCCCGTCGACGACAATGAAACTCGTGGTAGCAACAAACTGAATCAGGACCTGCTGGAAGCTGTCAATTCAACCGGGAGAGTTTTCATAACACACACTGTAAGAACGACAACACCTCTCCTCTGTAGTAGTTTATTCTGTCACTTGAGCGGCAAGAAACCCGCTTATACATCACCATTAGTTGAATCACATGATGACGTTACTGCAATTGCAGGCCTTATCAGGGATGTACACATTGCGGCTCGTGGTTGGAGCACCATTGACGGAGAGGAGACATATAGATGCAGCGTGGAAAGTGCTGCAAGATGAGGCATTTACTCTGCTTTGTAGTCCACTTCAGGAAAATGGCAACCTCCCTAAGTCTCCACCACCTATTGGATTTTTTGGGAATGGTTTTAAAGCAGAACCATTACCGCAAAAGTGATAAAGCTTTTGTAGTTTGAAATCCGAAATTCCTGGTGAAACTAGAGAAATCCATTGGGTGTGGTGTTGTTAGAAATTGCATATTTGGGTTTGTTAAAAAAAAAAAGAAATTGCATATTTGGGGATTTAAAGGGAGAAATTGGGAATTAGGAATTGAAGAATAAAAATTGGGGAATAACAAGAAAAAATGGTTGTTGGTCCTTTAGAGAAAGATACACTAGATTCCAGAGAATAGAGAGATTAAGGTTTGAGATACATCTCTGTAATATTCGTTATTGATTGATTCCAACGTAATACACAAGTAAATTTATGTAAGCAGTTACTGAAAAAATTAATAAATAATCTAATACTTTTCGAATACTGCTTACCTTAATAATTATTATTAATTTAATGCTCTTCTAAATCATCCAATGTTGTCAATGCTTTCTCATTCAATCTAAATCACTTTCTAAACTCTATTTTGTTTGTATTTATTTTATTTTTAAGAATCCAAATCCCCTTCTAAATCATCCAATTATGTCAATTCTCTTCTCATCCAACCTAAATCACTTTCTATACTCTATTTTATTTACTTTTATTTTATTTTAGATAAGTATAACATAGGTTGACTTTTTAATTAGATAGAAGAATTGAACATGATACTTTCATATTCAGAACTAGTATTATTACCACTAGGAGCAAACTCTATTTTATTACCTGAATCCGTGTACCCAACATCCGTAGCTACAATATCGTCCTTGTCATGGAGGTCGCATTTCAGTCGGTCATTGACTTCGCTCTACTACACATCGAACTGTATGAGCATTAGGGATTTGGAAAGAGAATTTTGGGATTAAGGATTTAAGAATAAGAATTGGGGAATAAGGTGAGAGAATGGTTGGTGGCCCTTTAAAGAGAGATAAACGAGCTTTTAGAGGAGAGGGGAGATCAACGTTTGGATACGTTTCTGTAATATTCGTCATTGATGGATTCCAACGTAATATGCAATTACATTTATATAGGAAAATACTAACAAAAATTATAAATATGTCCTTGATTCGTTCCTCGAATGAAATATCGGTATTCTAGGGTGTATTAGATGATATGTATGTTTTAGATACAAAAAATTTGCACAAGTGTAGAGTTATTGGCGAAAACAAAGAGATCACGGATGACGACAGGGAGATCACGACCATGAAGTGAGGGCGTGAACCGAGGCTCGAAATTGCAGCCAAAACAACCAAAATCGCGTTCATGAAGTATGCAGCCGAGGGCGCAAACTTGAGGAGCAGCCAACGAGGGAAGTCCAAAAAGTATCAACAGTTGACTCACGGCCTTCGTTAGACCGACATGCGATAAAGTTTGCAACCACGATGTAAGCCCGCGAACCTTGCTACCAGCAAGGCGTAAAAGGCAACCCCAAGTTCGCGGCCTCAACCCCCAAGATCACGACCGTGAACTTTGCCTCTTTGATCATGAACTTGCCTGAACCCTAGAAATCTATAAATAAGGGGTTCCTCCCCCTACACGAGAGGAGATTTTGATTGAGAGTTTTTTATTTTAAGAGAGAGGAAGTTAGAGAGAGAAGTTGAAGGAAAGACAGATGAGAAGGAGGAGGAGAAGAAGGAAGGGAGCTCTGCCACATTAAGGCTTCTTCTATTTTTTTCCATGTATCTTCTGCCCCCTTTATAGGGCAGTTCTCTAAGGTACTAGGGGTTAAACCCCCCAACTCTAGATTTAGGTTTTGAACGTAGACGTAATTGTGTTAGGGTTTATGTATGGATATGTTTGTTTTAGTGAATTTATGCTTCATTTATACTTGATTATACTTGGGTAAGTCGCCCAACACTTCACTACTAGCCTACAACGGAGTTTAACACTAGGTGGGAATTTTAGGGTTAGACTGGGTAGCACCAAATGGATAATTAAGGATAGATGAATGACCTTAGGGTTACTTAGTAGGCTTGACGACCGAACACCTGCAATAGGAATATCTTCCCAAAACAATGCTAGATAGGTCCCACGCGTTCTGATCGAAGTACCGATCTAGTATGCATGATAGGATAAATCTATTGAAAGGAACTATTAGAGCAACCCTAACACGTAAACTTAGACCGAGGTGACATTGGGTCTTTGTGGACCGTGTTAGAGAGGAGGGAGAATAATCTTTGAAATCCCCGGATTATAGAATTATGCATCATAACCCATAAACCCAACATAGTTATTTTCACGATGAATCTAGTTTAGCGCGAGGGTGGCTCGCCGAAGTACCTTGCTTTTATCTTTGCTTCTTTCCACAACTATTTTCCAATCAACCTCCAACCCATAAACCTAAATTGGTTGACTAGATAACAACAAAGTGAGAAGTATCCTAGGTTATCGAGACCCATGGAATACGACCTTGGTATCCACTATACTAGCAATGCCATTATGAGTTATACTTACCTCAGAATGTGGTAGTTAGATTGACCATGCAGACAATTGACACAACCCGCACGAGGTAGTAGCACACACCAATAACCTAATATTGCCCAACGAGGGATGAAGAATACATGGATCACCATTCAATGTTGTTACAATCTTATAGAAACAATGATAACTAGTGAGTAGGCTGCATATTGAACCTCGTAGGGGTGCACGAGTGAGAGAACCTAATAATGAAGAATTCAAGTATGACGAGGAGGAAGAAGATGAGGATGAGGAGGAGATTGCTTTTAAGGACAGTGAAGATGAAGTAGTAGATGGATGAACGTATTTAAACGATGATGAATGAAGTAGTTTTACATGTTTTTGTTGGACTGTTTCTATGAACTTATTATTTTGGTGAACTTGTGTTTTCATAACTTTGTGTTTCAAATTGTCTATGAAGTTGTCATTTTATAAACTTGCGTTTTTAAGAAATTTAGACATATTTTGATTATTGTTGAGAGTTAGCTAAGTGTTTATAAGGCCAAAAAATAATCTTGTACCACATTGATTATTTACAAGATTTAATTGTCTTTATAAGGCAAGATCAATAATAACAATTAATGTTATTTAAGCTGGGCCTTATGGTACTAGATTTTTAAAACCAAACCACTATGTCTCCGGCAAGGAACTTATCTCGTCGCGAGTTGGATAGACAAAGGTGGTCGCGAGATCTCGACCACGTTGGCGTCAAGCCTAATAGATCAATGCGGTCGCAATATCTAAACCACGTTGGCGTCAAGCCTAATAGACCAAGTTGGTCCCGAGATCCTCGTTGCGAGTTGGGTAGACCAAGGTGGTCATGAGATCTAGACCACGTTGGCATCAAGTTCGCTAGACTAAGGTGGCCGCGAGATCTAAACCATGTTGGCGTTAAGTTTAATAGACCAAGGTGGTCGCAAGATCTAGAAGGCCCTCGTCTTGGGATCTGGAATGGTCATAGTAACAAGACGTCAGTTCCAAGAGAGAGAGAGAGAGCAGGCGGTTAACAGGGCAAATGCGGATTATCCCATGTTCAAGGACACGTCAGCCACGTCCGAGGAAGAAGGGGAACAGTTCTTTTTGAAAGTTATCCAAGAGGTGGTTTTCTACGACAGTCGACAATTATCTCCCCATGGCTATAAATAGGAGGAAGGGTCCCAAAACCAACACTCTGACACACTGGTCAAGTTTATCCTTTACCTTTTTCTCTATCATGTAGCCATAGACGTAGTTCGTAGTTTGGAGCTCTCGCTGAACCTCCATAGGAGTAGGGGTAACTTAATTTAGTTTTTCAATCCTTTCACCATCAATAAAACACCCTCGTTCGAACTTTTTTTGAAGAGGTTTGAACTGTCTTAGAAATCGTTGTCCATAGAAGTCAAAGATGCAATTCAATTCTATTCAACGCAAGTTTTCTCGCCGAAAAATACTAAGTTATGAATTAACATTTAGATAGACCAAAGTAAAAAAATATTATTGCATTTGAGAGACTACACTATCATGGTATTTATCATTCTAATTCTTGTTCAAGTTGTATAAGTCACTTTATTTTCTTAAGCTTTATATTAAAATTTATGTCTTAATTTTCCTAGGCAATAGAATTAGTTTTGTTTGACTTTGACTAGACTTTGGCTAAAGTTATAAGCACAATAACTTGTGATCAATTTAGTTACTCTTCTAAACATCAAGTGTAAATAACATCTTGTTTTTGTGAATGAAAATTTGAACTACTCAAATACATTTGTGCATTTGGTGTATTATTGCTCTACTTTGTGGATGATGACCTTGTCCTAAATTGTTTTGTTTATTTTATTGAGTATACTTTCTATTCAATTTTATTTATGGTGTACATGGGTGATTTGTTATTTTGATTTGGAATATAACATTCAAAATTATAGTATTCAGTAAAAATTTTAAATATGCATTTGGATTTGGTTTGAATCCAACTTTAATTTGAATTTTTATATTGTTTTATACATGGATTACATTATTTTTGTTCTTTCTTAAACTTGGATTATTCTTTTAATATTTTAGTTGTTCCCTTGACATAAGTGACTTGTGTGAGATGAGGGAGAGAGTTAATTGTTTTTTTTAAAGTTATATATGTTTATTTTATTTATATTTGTTTAATCTTTCACCATTACATAAAAAAATCTTTCATATCTAGGGTATTGTTTGTATTTTTTATGATAAAAATGACATAAAAATTCTGAATTTTTCTAAATCCTACGTAGTAATTTCCCTCTCTAAAATAGATATAATATAAGTTTAAATAAAATCTATTAAATGAAAAAATAAAAAATTGGAGTAGATATTAATAATGATTGAAATTAAAAAGTAAATGTTTCTATCTTTCTCTTTCACTTTGAGGGTTATTGAAATTGTAATTTAATCTTTTGCTCCCTCATCTTATAATTAATGGTTAGTAGAAAAGTAAGTATTATCTATAAAAAAATTAGATAATTTTGATTTTTTAAAACACATACTTTTTTCTTCCATCCTTTTTGCTACTTCTAACTTCTAATATTTCCCTCCAAAACAAACTTAAAGTTTAACTTTTCATACTGTTTTCTAACAAAACAAAAAGAAAAAAAAAAACAAGTCTGTTTCGTTCCTATCGTCTTACCTCCAAGCAACATTACATTGAGTGGTCATTCGTGACAGTTTTCATACGGAAGCTAGCAAAATGGGGGAAAACACATTAGTCATCCACCCTTTTTGATCTGTCTCGCTTTCCCTACTCCCCCCAAAGCAAATAGGGTTTCACTTTCCACCTTGTGTTCCTTGAAATTTAGCCCGAGAGCAACGTAATAATGAGTGGTAATTGACCAATGATAAACATCAAACTGAAGGTAGCAATAGAAGATAGGAATAATAACAGTATGAAAAGTACTCTCATGACTCTAGCTCGGTCTCGTCGAATAAAGAAGGTATGTGTCTGCTTTAATGTTTGATTTATGAGTTTTTCTTCCCATTATAACTTGTTTTTGTTTGGACAGACATGATGGGGGAAAACACAATAGTCATCCACCCTTTTTGATTTGTCTCGCTTTCCCTACTCCCCCCCAAAGCAAATAGGGTTTCACTTTCCACCTTGTGTTCCTTGAAATCTAGCCCGAGAGCAACGTAATAATGAGTGGTAATTGACCAATGATAAACATCAAACTGAAGGTAGCAGTAGAAGATAGAAATAATAACAGTATGAAAAGTACTCTCATGACTCTAGCTCGGTCTCGTCGAATGAAGAAGGTATGTGTCTGCTTTAATGTTTGATTTATGAGTTTTTCTTCCCATTATAACTTGTTTTTGTTTGGACAGACATGACCTCTCAACTTGGACAGGTGTAAAGACTCAAATCGGATGTTAACATCATAAACCAAATCTATGTTGAGGACGTGAGGTAATTGTTAAAAATAAAATGATAAGTTTCAGTTAATGAGCCAATTTATGTTGATTGTTTATGTTTAATGTTAAGGGTCAGGTATGGACTGTTTGTTGGGCAAGCTAGATTGATTAGTTTTTTAGTCAAGGTAGTTAGAATATTTAGTTGTGGGCTACTAGTATTATGGGTAATAGGCCAAGTAAATAGGGTTACATGTTGCTATCTAGCAAGTAGTTTACATATAATATGATTGTATTTAAAGTTTAAACCCTTTTTTTCTCCGCAAAGTCAGTGTTGAAAAGATAGTCACAAAAAGGAAGAAAGAAAAAACGTGGGAGTCAACCAATAGTCGAACTCCCGATGAGAGGGCCTTTTGTCCCACATGATGGGCAACCCTATTTAATCGACGAGAAACAAAACAGAAAGAAAACCAATTGAAGTGAGAAGCTAAGCTCCGAGTATCCTCTAGTAGAGCTCCACCCCGATCATGAGCCAAGTCGCCTCCCACCATCCCGCCATATCAATTGTTGTGGACAAGACAACCGCCACCGATAGACTATTGTGCAATTGAATATTCACCTGCAAAATAAACAAACAAAGGTCCCTACTAGGACAATCCAGGCCAAAGAGCCAACAAGTCAACATAGACACAAGACAGCAATTCGCCCTTGAAATAGAGAACCAGGTCATCGGGAGACCCTAGATAACCGACACCACCCGAAACACACCTATTTTTTTTTTCCTAAAAAGGGTACAACCTAAATTTCGGGGACCTAACAATTTGCAAGTATATAATTTTAAAAAGAAGGCAATAGATACATACGACAAAAATGAAAAAGTTGAAAAGACTAATTGAAAACAAATAAAGTATGCAAGATAATAATTAAGGGAAAGAAAGAAATAATCATAATAATAATAATAATAAAGAAATAAATAAATGATAAAGGAATACTTATCTGACCTGTCGGTCAAGAAGCGTAACCGCCACCCTGTTCGTGATTGTAACCGACAAGACAGGCATGTGGGGGAGATGATCGGCCACCTATTGCCGGATTTGGAATGCCATCAACGCCGCCATATCTTCCATCGAGACCTTTGATCTGGAACTCCAAGCAGCGCCAAAGATTCCCCCATTGGTGATAGAATATCAATGTTTTTGTTCGTCTCTTTTGTTCTGCCAAATATTGAGGCAAAATGCCAAAAAATGGCAGGGTTGCCAGCTCGTCCCCCCACACGTCTCCGGTTACCCTGTTCTTCCGCCAGCTGCTCCCATCTCTGCATCGTCCGCCGACACCGTCGGGTGCTCTTCTTTCCCACCGTCTATGTCTGACCCCGTCTCTGATACCCGTGTTCCTCCGCCCGCTGTCCCTACTCTCAAGGAACCCGTCACTGGACAGTCCACCTCCACAGCATGAGGAAAGTTCTGCCCCGATCCGCACACTCGCTCCCATGTCTTCGTCATCAGCCGCAACCAAGCAACCTGCCGTCGGCAGCTCTTCCTCCCTGCGGCCAGGAAACCCGCTAGTGCCGGAAGCTTTTCCTCCCCATCAAGGGAGAATATCGAAGACACCACCCAATCCAGATACTCAACCTGAAGCTGTACGTGTCTCAGGTCCAGATCCGTCGGTCTCAGCGCCGGGAAGTGATCAACATGGCCGACTGGTTTTAGTATTCGGTGCCATCTGTGATAGTTTTTTTTAATCGGGTTCCTAGGTTTAGGACTTGTATTTAAACTCCCTTTGTTCATTCAATAAGCCGGTCCTTGTTTGGTCATAAGGATAATTGTTCTTATTAGGTCAGGGGCCGCCGGTCCGAGGCTAGTTGAGTTTTTGTATATTCGATATTTACAGTAACACAATGATTTATTTCTACTTAATTGAAAGAAAAAATGTTTCAAAAAGTTGATGTTTCTACTATTCTAATTGATTTCTATTGTTCATCCACAATGTTTTTGGACCACGATGACATGTTTTATGCTTGCCATGGTATGTTACATGATTTCTTGTTTTATATTGTCTTAATTATATAATGAAAAATAGAAATTTAAAATATCAGCATGCTTTGTTATGTATATCAGGATGTAGTACCACTTTATGTATCACCACCCTTGTCTTTGAGATGCGGATTGCACCATACTGTTTATTATTTATATCTATGACGTACGCAAACTAATACAAAAAATGTTTTAAGAAGATGGTGTTTCCACTATTTTAATTAATTGTTTTCTCAATACAGAGATTTTTTGACATAAATCTTTATGCTACACCACCAGAATAAAGCCTACCACATGGTATAACTTGGTAAACCACGCTACAGAAAATTATAAATCTAACTAGCATACAATACCACCATAGTAGCACATGGTAAATCGAAGGACCACAAATTAATTAAAATTATCATATAATACCACATGGTATGAGAAGGTACAACCCTCTATGACCATAGTAAAACATGATATTCATAAAAATACATTTCGTTACCACACATTACCATATGGTATAGTATCTCAATATATACATACAATTACTACTTTCTTCTCTCCCTTCATTGTCTTCTAACTCTTCTTTCTCGGAACTGGTGTCGATTACCACCCACTACCACCATGATAAAACTCGTGACTATAAAAATACATTTAGTTAGCACACATTACCATATGGTATAATGTGGTAATATCAATATTTATATTATCTCAAATAAGGGGAAAACAGAAGGAGGAAGAGAAAAAAACTCGTTTTCTATGCCCTCTCATTTACTCCTCCGCAATCAAGAACACCAAATGCAAAAAGAAAGAAGAAACAGGAGGAAGATCGGAATTGAAAATTCACAAACAAATCCTAAAACATAAAATATGCAAACTCGACTCACCTAAATCTGTCCCCTCTTTGACAATATGGAGCGTCATCTATTGTGAGGCCGTGAAAAGAAAGAACAGAAGGAAGGAGCAGCTTGAGAGAAGAAGAATTTGGAGCGTCATCGGATTTGAATTGGAAGGCTGCAATTTTTCTTTGTCGATTGTTGGAGAAAAAAAATGAAGAACAAGAGAAGAAAGGAGATTTAGATATGGAAAAAGGAGTTGGAAGAGAGAAAGGAAGATAGAAAAGAGAGAGGAATAGAGAAGTCCGTTTTTCTCTTTCCTCCATTAAAAGACAGCATATAAATGTTGGAAAAATATAAAAAAGGAAAGAAATAAAATGTAAAAAATCGGTCAAAAATGCCCCTCCACCCTCCGCGTGCAGCCCAACCACACGATGATTTCGCTCCTAGATCTACGGTCCCGGTTTAGTTACTAACTCTATCCTATGCCGACATTTGTAACCTCCATGCCTCACTTGCCGGGAGGGGGGGGGGGGGTAAAGGAGTAGGTCACGTGTATAGTAGGGTCACCGGAGGTGGGTTTATTATTTGGCCCGGAGGTGGGTTTGACCGTCAAATTAGACGGTCAACCGAGTTCATCGTTAGTCAAAGTCCACCTCACTTGCCACGTAAGCTATCAGGAAATAAAAAAATAATTTTTTTGAATTTTTTTTAATTTCTAAAATTAATTAAAAATAATTTGGAGAGCTCTTTCAATTAAATTTTTTTGTTTATTATTTTTATTGTTAGAAAATAAAAAAAATTCAAATTTAAAAAATTAATTTTTTATTCCCTGATAGCTGACGTGGAAAGTGAGGTGGACCTTGACTAACGGTCAACTCGGTTGACCGTCTAATTTAACGGTCAAACCCACCTCCGGGCCAAATAAGAAAGTATGCTACATAGTTTAGGCCAGGATAGCAATTTCCAATACCACGAGCCAATATAGAAAGTTTGTCTATAGTTAGGGCCAAATTAAGGTATTAACCCAAAATGATAAGTTCCAGTTAATGGGCCAGTTGAAGTTAATTGTTTTCCTTTAATGTTAAGGGTCAGGTCTGGGCTGTTTCTTGAGCAAGATAGATTGATTAGTTACTTATAGTCTATCGTAGTTAGAATATTTAGTTGTGGGTTGCTTGTATTAAGGGTAATGAGCCAAGTAAATAAGGTTACGTGTTGTTTTTTAGCAAATAGTTTACATAGAATATATATGATTGTATTTAAACTCTCTTTGTTCATTCAATATACTAGTGGAGTTTTTGTACATTCGATATTTACAGTAACCCAATGTTTTATTTCTACTTAACTAAAACAAAAAAATGGTTTAAGAAGATGACGTTTCTACTATTCTAATTGATATCTATTGTTCATCCAAAAATGTTTTTGGACCACGAGGACATGTTTTATGCTTTCCATGGTATGCGAAATGATTTTTTGTTTTATATTATCTTAATTATATCACGGAAAATAGAAATTTGAAATACCATAATGCTTTGTTATGTATATCAGGATGAAGTACCACTTAATGTATCACCACCCTTGTCTTTTAGATGCGGATTGCACCATCAGATTCATTATTTATGTCTATGACGTACGCAAAACTAACAAAAAATATGTTTTAAGAAGATGGTGTTTCCACTATTTTAATTGATTTCTTTGTCAATACAAAGATTGTTTGACATAAATCTTTATGCTACACCACCAGAATAAAGTCTACGGAGCAAAAGTTACGTTAAGGGAAGTCCCTGTCACATATCTTGTGAGTCCGGAGACAAATATAAAAAAAATCGTTTTAGAAGCTGGTGAATTTTAAGTCCAACACTATTTAATTGCAACTTCCCATATAAACAGTAGACTAGGGTTCACTATTAGACCACCAAAAGTACTTAGAAGCATTGATAAGTACTTAGAAGCACATATTCTAGTTGATGTGGAAGTTTTTATTGTTTTAGTTCAACAGGGGGTTCACTATTAGACCACCAAAACATGTTTTACGCTTGCCATGTTGTGTAAAACTATTTCTTACTTTATATTGTCTTAATTATGTTGAGAAAAATAGAAATTTGATATACTATCATACTATGTTATGTATATCAATTATCACGATGTAGTACATTTTTATGTATAACCATCCTTGGATTTTAGATGGGGATTGCATTATACGGTTCGTTCTTTATTTCTATGACGTACGCAAAACTAATTCAGTAGTTGATTGGAATATTGGTGGTAGGATTAAAAAAAATACTACACATATACTTTTCTTGAAATTATGCCAAGTTAGGTAGGGTAGTTTTGCTGGGTGGGTGTCGACTTAAATCATTTTGACTTTCGTTCGAGACATATTATATACAAAGTTTAAGAAACCCTACCATACTGGCTGGTCGGACAGTAAATAATGAATACCGGATCCCAAATAGTAGGCGGTTTTAGTATTAGAAAAATGTTCAATCATGGTTAAACCACGGTTTTAGTACAAAATATCCTACCACTCACTTTTCCCATATAACTTCCAGTACGGTTTCCTGAACCTTGATTATATCATGATTCAGGCAACTCTTAAAACTCCTGTGTAACTACACTTTTTAGGATTTTATTTTTTATTAGTATATAAATAACTCAAATTTGTTCAAGGAGTCTAGTAAGATGTATGAGGGTGTACAATAGTACTTGTTAGAACTTAAACTAAAAACAACTTGATAGAATTTCTCTTAAAAACAATATTTTCCTTAACACAAATTTCTCTAGTTGTCAATTAGGCAAATATCCTATCTCTCTAAAACTTATCTTAAATAAAGTTTCTTCTTCTTCTACCATGTATGGTTTTTACTCGATAACTCACATTTTCTAGCTGACGATTAGACAAGGTTTCCCTTTCACAGGGATTTACGTTAAAGGGCTTTTATACTTTCCTTTCTCTACGACTTACATTAAAGAAGTTTTTTTTTTCTCACTTAGCTTTTTTCATTGGTCCATATTATCTAACTATCAATTAACAAAGTTTCTCATTTCACGAGGACTTACGTTATTTTTTTTATTCTACACATTTATATGTTGTAGATATATAAATAACACAAATTTAGTTAAAGGGTCTGGTAGGGTATGAGAGGAAGTATCAATATTCCAGTAGCAAATTATTGTTTGACTAAAAAAGAGCGGGTGTTGCCAAATTTAGTTATAATGATTGGAATTTCATAATTACTAAATAATTAGAGGTTTGATAAATGAAAACTAGATTGAAATTAAATAGTGAAAGTTGAGTTCCTTTCTCTTTTACATGTTGCTCTAGGCAGTCTTTCCGGACCATCAATTTTAATGGTTCATTAAAAAAAGAAAAAGAAAAGAAGATAGAATGATATTTTTACTTGGACTCTTTCGTTCTCCCGCACCCTCTCTCTCTCTTTTCTTCTACCCCTTTTGATCTGTCTTGTTTCCCTTGCTCCCTTCAAAGCAAATAGGGATTTAACTATTCACCCTTCCTTCTACCAAATCTAGGTTGAGAGTAACGTTACCATGAGTGATAATTGCCCAACTGTAAAAAACAAAATGAATGAAGCAACAAAAGAGACAGATAACAGAGTCTGAAAAGCATTTCAAGGCTTTACCATGCCATATATTTTGATCTTGCTATTATTGTATGTGTTGCAATGGATTTGGGATGAGAAATGGATTATTACTTTTTGTGGTGGATGCTTTTATTATGTGCATGGATTGAGGAAAAAAGGGTCTCTACTTGTGCCATGACACATAGCTGGCATGCGTGGGTGTCTATCTCAACATTGGTTTCCTATCCAATTCTAAGCTCCTTCGAGGCTCTGATATGGAAGGAATTGAAGTGTGGGGTAATCAATTGGGATTCGTCTAATGACACTCTCTTCAAGAACGCCTCACGATGATTTATTATACGTGCTTTGGTAAGCCCTTGGAGATCACTCGTCTTCTTACGAGAGAGTGAGGGTGTAACCATTCCACCTTCATACATTTGCTCATGACCATTCGTTATGTATTTTCACACTTACGTGGAAATATAGGCACTCAACGATTCATCCATATATGTGTTTAACAATTATGACATCACGTAGTCAATGCCACTATGGTCTTGCCTTTGGTATGTCGCCTAGCATTGATGGCTCTCCACTAAGGGTGGGCGTTCGGTCGGTTCGGTTTGAACCGAACCAGGTTATGCCGAGTTTCCGAATTCCCCAACGCCCCGACCGAATTCGAACCGATTTGTGATTCGGTTCGGAGGCTCAAACCGAATTATCACATCTCCTCTGCTGACCCCTTTTTGTCTGCTGCCTTTTTCTTGTTTTTGGTGAAAATTTGACATGGGCTGGCTGCTCACTGGTCACTGCTGCCAAGTTCTTCCAAATCCATTACATTCATACATTACATATTACATTCAAGCATATTCAACACAAACACATTACATTTATACATTGCATCAAGTTCTTCCAAATCCAAATATTCATTACAACACAAATGGTTCTAAGTTCAAACTAACAAAAGCAAGGTAACCAATGTCTAAATTCCAAGCATAACTTGTACAAACTCCAAAGGTCTTGCTTCTTGGCTCTTCCCTCTTGGACAATCGACACCTTTGAATTCGAAAATAGTACAATAAACACGAAACAATGATGGTTAGTGATTAATAAGTTTAGAGCTAATCACAAGTAACCAAGTAGAATAAAATCATTAGTTCTTACCTTTGAAGTCATCAAGAATGCATTCAAATTTCAAACATCAGAAGTATCACCACAAGCACTACTAGATGCACTGCCATCGTTCCTCCTCCCACTCGCAACATTGGAAGTCGAGGTAGATGAAACTAGAGTATCTCTTATAGAGATTGCATTCATCAACTTGTCCAATTCTGTATGATTAAATAGACTCAAAATTAGTCATGACATAAAAATTAATCATGTTATAAATATGTAATGCTAAATTTGAAACTTTACCTTCATCTATTTTCTCAACTTCTTCTGGATCCTCCTCGATTGATGGTGGTGATAAATCACCTCGAATCCAATCCGAGCTACAAATTAAAGCCTCTACTATCTTAGGAGTCAATGAACTTCTGAAATCATCTAGAATCCTCCCACCAGCGCTAAAGGCAGATTCAGATGCAACGGTAGAGATTGGAACCGCTAGAACATCCTTAGCCATCATGGAAAGGGCAGGAAACCTCAAGCTGTTAACCTTCCACCAACCTAGTACATCAAATTTGAGCACCATTGGCTCGTCTTCCTCACGAAGGTATTTCTCAAGCTCGGATTTGTTTACCGCCCCTACAATTTGCTCT